GGTAATTGCGAACTCCTTGTGTTTCCAGAGTGCGTTAGGTTCATTTGGATGTGATTTCATAGGATTGTTACGTATCCTATTTGAACCTAATACATGACAACCCGGCAGGAAAGATATAAAGTCGTAGTCAATGCTGTCGGGCGATGTTTTGAGGACACTACATCCATTTGAACACAGTAGTTGGTACTGCGTTGGCACTGTTATAAATGAACATGTAGATTTTTTTGGGGTACATTTTGATCGATATTTTTCTACAAACAGTTCAAGGAGAATGGGTACATTTTGCATTATTGATGTGATTAAAAGTATATAAACATATAGCATTCACTAACTGTCTTAGGTATTCATACATATTCTGCTGGTATGAATGAACTTTGCATAAAAAAGCAGATTGGAGTGGGTTTGGAAAGTATTGTACCAATGTGCGCATAAGAACGTGTTTAATAAGTGCATAGTATCTGTTATGACATGGATTAAAGAAAAACATGGATATTGACAAAAGAAAACTAAAGCTGAAAAGTTCGACAAGACGTGTGCTTGGAATTACACCGAGACATAATTGGTGATATGCTTGGAATTAGATAGATACATAATTGGTGAACACGATGATTAGGTAACATGCACAGGTTAGAGACATCCTCTTTACTGTTAAAAAAAAAGTTGGCTTCCACAGAACCAACTGTGGTCAAATATTGAAGCCAAAGCAGTGAGCATGCCCAAGAAGGTGGTGCCCACCAGTAAGATGGAGCGATTAAATCAGTGTGTGCCCACTTACTATTTGCATTGATATATCAAAGTAACGTGAGGGATTGATACGGACTGGAGATGCCTTCATTGAGCTGTGGATTGATCAAGTCTTATGATCATGATGAAAATCAAAAACATTTCATCAAGAAATGTCACTCCCATTGACTATAATGCGAGATAACAGATTCCATTAAACAATTTAATCACTTCAACTTATTGATTTGTTGCATCGAATTTCCATTGCATTTTCCTGCTCAAATAGCCATAATTGTCAGGTGCTTTGAGTATCCGTAGCAAGGGAGAGTTCTTTGTTCTATATATATAAACATCTCAATCGGACTGAACAATTGTGGAATCAATAAATGTGAAAAAAGGAGAAATTACCTGAAGCTTTGCATCAAAATGAGTGCTAGCTGATGTGTGTTTATTCAGGTTATTGCTGGCCAACTGAAGAATTACAGTAAAATCTTGGATTGCGAGCATAATTCGTTCCGGAAACGTATTTGTAATCCAAAGCACTCCTATATCAAAGCACTCGTATATTAGTTGTGATCACGTGATGCTCGGCAGACAAAGCGTATACGTACTACTACTCGTATTGCAAGACCTCGCTCGTTTATCAAATGAATATTCATTTAAAAATTTTGCTCGCCTTGCAAAACACTCGCAGACCAAGTTACTCGCAATCCAAGGTTTTACTGTATTTCCTTTGCCGCAATAACGTTTCACATGTATATTTATGTTGAGTAGTACGAGTACAGTAGTAAATATGTTAAATATTAGGAGTGCAATAGTTGTTTTGAATTACGGTACATTTTTCCAAGTATATCGCTAATAATACAATTTTAAATTGTATATAAAAAAACACTATTGACTCAATACCGAGGCTCTGAGTTAATATAATTGTCGCACGTCATATACGCATTCAGCATATGCTGGCTCACATAGTTTCCATGGACAGGTCAATATGAAAATGCAAAAGCACCTTTTCCTCGTGAAGTTTGATGATCCACATTTCAGCCAAAAGACCATGCACCTTGAACAGGTTGCATTTATTAACACAATATTTTGCACAGTACAGAACATGTATACACTAAAGAATATAAATAATAGTGCTGGAGTAATGGGTGCTGTGGCCCTTGGCCTCAAAGGGGCATGAACAAAAATAGTAACAGAATGGTGAAATTGGGGGGTAATTGGTAAATGCTATCAGGTGGGCTTCTTGTAGCAGCATAGCTCTGGGAATGTGTCCTATGTGTTATTAGGTTAATGTAGCTTCGAGTGTAAGACCTCTGCCGTTTGAAGCCAAAAAGGTGTAGGGTTATGCTTGTAATTTATTTAGTGGCGTTGATGTAGGACCGACCACCAGGGCACACTTCTGCCCTCTATCTGTTGGCTTGAGCATTTGACAATAAATGAGAAAAACTGATGTACGTGTATTTATATTTCATACAGAACTCCTTGTATCCGCCACCCTATTATATAATTATCTGAAGTGCAGCGAGCACCCCCACAGCTCCTGAAATACCACTCTACTCATCTGTGATTTTTCAAGTATAGAGTGGAGTCACGTGTCAGATGGCTCCTAATATCCACGGTTTATCCATGGGTATTTACGAGCCCCTTTCTTGGCAGGCACTGCGCATAATTCCTCCTATTTGTAATTATTCCGCGAGTAAGTGAAGTCCCGTGGCAAATTCATCCTTTTAAATTTTTTATTTTGTCCTTGGTTATCTACAATTTTTTGTTACTCGTGAATAAGATAAGTCAATTTGTGGATAGGAGCAGTTCTTTACTTTGTTTTTGTAATATCAAGTTTAGTATTGCACAAATCAAATAATGCCTCATTGAGTGATACTGTGCTTAAAATCCTTAACCTGCATTACAGTTAACGTTTCAGTAGTAGGCTTGGTGAGAAGTCATCAATACACCCCCACTTAGAGATTTCCTCCACCATCGGAATGTGCAATTACCACTGCTGGCTTCGGAATGTCAATCTAAATGAGCAAAAACTAACATTTATTTGACAAGGGAGATTCTGTGACTTCACTTTTGCTGAGTATTGTTTTAAAATTAAGATATTTCATATACGGCACTTAAAATAGCATTTAATTGGACGTTACTTGACTTTTATCGTAATTACTCTATAAGATTACCTGTTCACAAAGTATGGAAACTGCAAAATAATATATTGAAATTATTGCTTAAGCCCAAGTTCCTTGGATTTAATTGTTATAAAAGTAGGTTCCTGACATGCATTATGTCAGATGTATGATTTGTGATTTTAAAACATTAAATTACATCTATACATCATCATCAATAAAGCGTTTCCTACAAGCCAAAATGTGCCTGGCGAAACTGCACTATACAAACAAATACGAGAGATGAATGCAAGGGGCCCCTATTATTAAATAGTACAGTTTGCATACAAATAAATAGCAAATACATACAAAAATACATGTATGGGTTTCATAACAAAGAGGAGGATACAATGGTTGGAACAGGTTTAGAGGATGGAGTGGGGTAAGTTATTGAGACGGGTATTGGCGACCAAGGTTGAGGGCCTAAAATTAGATGGCGGAGGTGTGATGACTGTTAGGGCAGACTTTGAAAGTTGGGTGACATCTGAAGCTGCAACGGTTGTCGGATATGGCATTACGAATAAATTGATGGCAAGGTGTGTTGGCATCAAATCTATTTTGTGACTATCAACACTGTAAACCCCTGTTATTAATGGATATTCTCTTTTATATTACCTGCTTTGACACATCATTCAGAAACACGAACATTGCCAACGAGAATATAACAACAAAAGCTGAGAAGTATGCAAAGCGGTATGGAGAGGTGCACGTTTGGAATTGCATCGAGAGACGGAGGAACTCTTGGATCAGGGTACATATGCAAGTTCGAGATATCTTATTGACTGTTAACAAAAGTAAGTGGAATTTGGCAAGAGTCGTCGTGAAGGGATGATGTCCAGCTGCTGAGGATAAAAACATTGGCAGCCAAAGGAGAGAACTTCTGAGAGGACATGCACTGCAGAAATGGAGTGATGAATTCAGCCCTTGTGCAAGGTACTGGATGGATTTTTGCATGGTGAACCAACGAAGGGTATTTATGGCTTTGGGAAGCCATCAGCATTGGATTACATCATGGCTGGTGATAATGGGCAATGTAATAAAAATGCATCGTATAATCTATAAGTGTAAATATCTATAATGGCACATTCTTATTTAAACAATGACAATGCAAATACAAAGCACTTTTTCGATTTAAAGCTTTCGTGACTGCAAGGATTCATCTTCTTGGTTCTTTCGGTAAAGTCACGTAGAATGAGAATAAAACAGTAAAACAAAATAAGACAATAAAATTCTCACGACGTTTCGGCCACAGCACAAGTAGCCTTTTTCAGGTGAAGGAACAGAACTGTCGGGACGACAGCGCTTCAATGCACTTGATAAGTATTGCTAAATATTCATTACATATGTCTTAATCACTAAGATACTTTTCTTGGAAATTATGTTAATGTGCTAGTTGTCCAGAGTTTAAGACTTGCATATTTAATTTGTATGACTGACGATGCACTGTCTTTCGCAAAGCGGCTCAATATCAAGTATGTGCTTGGGAATTACATAATATAGCTTGGCAACCTCACGTTGCTGCTCTGTGTGAAGATATGCTGAAATCTGAACCAGTAGCAGCCTTGTGTACAGTCTTTGCAGATGCATCCCGTGAAAGGGGAAATAACCAAGTGCTCCCTAACATGTCAACTTCTGATAACTTTTTCCATTAAATTTGGAACATGTTGAAAAGGTTACTTTCTCAGAATGCTTTGCTACATGTTTCTTTCTCTTAAATGTGTCGGTTATAATACCAATTTAAATAACGATTTTAGTGTAAGACTGTAAGGTAAAATAAGGATTGTTTCTTTATTTGCAATATGCAGCCATTGTCGAGAACAAAAAATAACGAATTTCTCTTCTTCTGTATGAATGCTATTCATTAACGAATGAATCCCTTGGGATGAAATGAACATCATTCAATCTTAAAAGTATAATTCTTTGCCATAGACTTTGGGAATTATAGAATCCCAACTACAACAATGCTAGCTTTGTGAAAATGAGCCACAGGCATCCTTTCATTTTTTTTATCAACCAAGTCTATTTGTACATAAGCCCCATCTTGGTATAGCCCCAGCATACCAAAATGATATGGAGCGTCGATTCATCCTCGCCAATAATACATTCATGCTGTATAACTAAAAATGGCAAAGGCCTGTATATCAGCCTTGCCTCTGGGGTGTTGAAGCATCGCTTTCTGATTCACGTGCTTCGTATGCTGCATTCTGCACAAGGACTTTTGACTGGGGCATTACTTGGGTCATTATATACCTTCATCAGGCATCAACATCTTGGGGATGCGTGCGGAGCAGGGCATTTGTTTACAGAACTTCCCCCTCTAGGATTCGGTGTTCAGCCACCTTGCACGTTGGCTTGGGCCAGTCAGTGGTGTGGATACGCGTGTGCTTTCTGTGTTGGAGCAGGGAGGATGAAACCATCCAATCCGGCTTGTCCAACAAGCAGCCCACTGAATGCGGCAAGGGCATTCCTGTGCCGGTCACATCGTCGCTTGTGCGCGTGTGTCTTTGAGAGAAGGAGAATACGTGCACCATACAGTGCGTTTCTCCAATTTCCCAGCGCAACAAAGCTAAGCCGTGATGGAGGCAGGACGGCAATCTTGTGTAAGTGATTCTGAAATAATGTTAAAACATTGAAATAATGTAAAAACATTGACAGCTCTTTTTTTTTCCCCCCCTGTACGATTCATCCATGCGTGTTTACCTTGCTTAAAATCGGGCTATATTGTGCCGTGTTATGCATCACCACTAATTGATTGTAATCATTTGTAATATGAATATTGTACTGCAATATACGTTAAATGTATAGTGGATGCTGCCTTGTTTAATGTGATTCATCATTCATTATAGTAAGCGATTCATACATTACGGGATGCTGCTGTAGACATCTCTTTCGCAATGTCATGCGTGTGTGTTGCTGTAATGCGCGAGGTCTCTACTACACAAAGACTCGGGTGAATACCATGTCCCTTACATTGTTTAGTGATAGACAACTAAACGTGCTTCTACCCGTTGTTAATGTCAGTGTGTTTTGGGGTAGGTGGGTCAATAAATATTTGAATTTAAATTGTGCTTGGTTTATTATTCAGCTCAACCGTGCATTTGCAGTGCGTCTTGGTGTGGAGTGTAAAAAAAAAAACACATTGACGCTTTTAAATTCATGGACATAGTGCTCGCCTGTCAGCCCCGTCCTAATTTTACATTGTCACTAGGGCAGTCACTTTAGTGTGCGTACAGTCATAATTGATTGTTGAATAGTAAAAAAAAAAATCTACTTTCAAACCGCGTTGACCATGGAGATGGAGCATAGAAATCGTTTGGTGGCTCCGCTGCGTTATGGTTCGTTACATCGCAGGGCCGTGATATATGGTGGTGGTTTGGGGATGGCTTCATCCAGCAGTGGATAATACCACGTTTGATAATGACTGCTCTGTGTGTTTACATTTTTATTTAAAGCTTTCGTGACTGCAGGGATTCATATTCTTGGTTCTTTCGGTAAAGTCACAATACAAATGATATTTTTATTATTTTATTGTTTCCCTTCTACGTGGTGACTTTACCGAAAGAACCAAGAATATGAATCCCTGCAGTCACGAAAGCTTTAAATCAAAATTTAAACACACAGAGCAGTCATTACACACAGAGCGGTGATTATTTTTATTGTTTTATATTTTTTATTATTTTATTGTGTTCCCTTCTACGTGACTTTACCGAAAGAACCAAGAATATGCTCTTGTCTGTGTTCCAACATTTGGTGAGACCGTAGTGTTTAACATGCACCATCCACCAAACTGTCAACCACAGGGTTGCAACCAAAACAAGAGGTTTAGCTTGCTCTATGTGAGAATGCAGGGAGGCTGTGGAATGGGGAGTTTTATTTTTAGCCTCTGAAGGTGATGGGTTAGTGGAAAAGGGGAGAGCCTACAGTCTCATGTTGGGTTCAGTGGACATTGTTCTTTGGTCGCTTGTTGCGTGGGCCAAGATATTTTTTTAAAAACTTATTTTGAACAGGAGTGAGCCGTCCATGGGATGATGTCACTTATTGATCCTTCGTGGGGAAGGTTAACATGTCCTTGTGGCGTTGCATTTGATAGCAAAGCTATTTCGGAGTAATATTTACACCCTTTTTTAATACACAGTGCATCACTGTAGTATGACGCACATAATTAAAAAGTCTAGAGGCTCTGATGTTGTTCAAGCAGTGTTGTGATGAAATGTCTGTGCAAGTGGGATTTTAAAAATATATATGATTCGCTATCTTTATTGAAATCCAGAACTTTGTTTATGATTATCTATTCACACTAGATGCACGATTTTTATTATACAAATGTTTTATTTTCTGAAGTCTAGCTATTAACAAGCAACGCAGGGAATTGTGTTGATTCATGCAGTTTAATCTTAACTCCTTTTTTTATTCAACGCACAATTTAATAATTTTACATGTTCAACATTAATAGGTCAAAAAATATATTTAATTTTATTTCCATAAAGCATTTCGCTAATTGCTCACGGACGTGTAACTGCATGTAAGGCAAAACATTTAATTTGTGACAGTTGTGCAGCCACCGAGCCTGAAAATAAACCGAGGGCCACTCATTGTGCAGAAAGGCAGGCGTGCATTCAGGAAGGGTTTACTTACTCTTCATGGCCTCAATTCTTTATCCGACGACTAAAGCAGCTCACCAGGTCATTACCACAAACTGTACATGAGGCTGGCGTGTGACTAAGGACATAAAACCATTGCTTTCATGCAACATCATGGCTTTCACTGTATTAAAATGTATTATATTACAGTAGGTAGCTTTGCTCATAAATTCATGAATCCGGCCAGGTGGCACTGTGGCTAGAGCCCTCAAATCACAGCGAGTAGGTTGTTCGTTTTAAAATTCGAGGCTGGGGTCAATCCAGTATATCATCACCATCATCGTTATCATCATGGTCGGGAATATTTTGCCAGAAGTGAGACTGATGGAGAGCGAGAGAGAGACTACTGTGCACGTATTTTTTGCAGTTGTGCTGTATGGCACAGAGATTTCTTTGAGACATTGCACGTCATATGTTTGAGAGCTCCTTGAGAAAGAAGCATGTGCAGCAAAACCATCAGATACGGTGTTGAAACAGCATGCATTAGGACCTGAACATACATCAGAGAGCTAGAGAGAAAAAGATTATTCACCATCAAATGTGGAATTTCCACTGGCTCAGGACCACCATGTGGAGGTGAGCGATATCCCATGCACGTTTGTGCACTGAAACACTGGATTATTGACATTACTTAATTGTGTTGTGTATTTTTTGTAAATGATTGGTTGGTGTTTTGCTTTGGGATATTTTGTTGTAAAAAGTTATTTGGAACTGTTTATGGTGCTGAAGTGAAGACTTTTTGAACATTCGCTAGATCACTGGCCACCCCTGGGTGCTGAATGCCTTTTTAAGGCTTTGTAAACCGCGTTCTCTGTTGACTTCATTACAGTATCTATTACTTGCGTTGGTTACTGTGAACAGTGCAAACCATTAAATATACACGCATTAGTTTTGTAGATTGACAGAAAGGTTTTGAAAATGCAAGAATTATTGAGTGATTTTTAGAAAATGTCAAAGTAATTGATGTATTTTCTGTCAGTATTCTGGTTCACCTGCTGTCATCACTGCTAGCCGTGGTGTGTCATGCAGAAACACACGCTTTTCTTCATTGCAAATGGTGTCTGTAATTAGCATTTGTTCTCCGATTCACATTTTATTCTCTGTCTCCCAGCGTAACTTACGGCATCCATCTATGCAAGTATTTTGAAAAACGTTTCAGATTTGTGTTTCATGTTCTTTTGCAAGTGTCCATATTTTTTTTTATCCCTGAGTCATTTTTAGACATTTTTTACAATGTTGATACTGGTCCACTTTAAATACATAAGGCCAGTATGTCCGCCAAGATGTATATACTCTCAATAATTCAATAATGTAAAATTATTGGAAGTGTATTTATCTGAATCTGGTTTGCTATCATGGCCAGTGGGCCATTAAATGGAAAATGTTCACTGCTCTGATATTTACGAAGAGTTTATATATGTGTTAAGATTATAATGGTTCTGTAATTTTTCAAGTAAGTTTTGCCTCTCTTTTTGAATTGAAGAGTGATTGAGACATAGACATCGATATTTTACTTAAGCCGGAAAAACCCAATGAGCTTGAAGCTCTCTTTCACAGGTGCCCACAGGGGAGCCATCAGTCCATTTCACAAGCGTGACATCCATTCCTTGATTGTGGTATTTAATCTCTATAAACATTTGGTAAAGCGGTCCCTGAATTTTGTTTCGACATCTTTTCTGATGATGTCCATGATGGTTACCTCTTCAAGTGTCAGATCTGGAACATCTTCTTCTTCACCTTAAACATGATTTGTTTCTTGGGGTACATGAATACCTTTGTTCATAAGATCTGCTTCCTATGCTAATTTCATGATTTGTGCGATCATTATAGCATACCGTCTTGCTCTCAAATGGTTTTTCTTTTACATTGATCAATCGTCTTCCTCATTAGCTGCTTTCATGTTCCTATTACTCGCTATGATTTCTTAAATCTCGTTGTTTTCTGTTCCATAATTTTTTTTATTTACTCTTTCTTTTCCTCATGGGTTTACAGAGTTATGAATTCTATGTTGGGTTTTGTATTTTCATTCCTTTGTATGTCTCTCCTTATTTATTTCTTTGGGTCTTTCGGTAAAGCCACGTAGATAGAAGAAAAAAATAATAAAACTATAACGTCGTTTCGATCGCAACACAAGCAATCGTCATCAGGTGACATCGAAGCGGCTGAAGAGGCTGTCATGTTATCTACATGTTCCCAATCAGATATAGACATTTTTCTGTCAATGTTAAGTGTGATTGCAAGAGAGTCTTGTCTAAATTGTCTATTTCAAATCGGAGCAATCTTATTCTCTCCGAGATCAGGGCTAGACCGGCCTTGAACAAGATCCGTTTGGCATTAGGAGTAGTGACAGCAGCTGATGTCAGTGTAAAGGCGATCGGTATCACCATAGTGTCGCGGCATCTCTTCAGATCAGGAAACCCTCCCCGTAGAGATGATTTAACTGCCTCTACGGGGAGGGTTTCCACACAACTATTAGATCTTTTAACTAACTTCGAGACAAAAATGCTCATCTGATCGAGTCGCTCACTTTTCTGAAGAGATGCCGCGACACTAAGGTAATACCGATCGCCTTTACACTCACATCTGCTGCTGTCACTTCTCATGCTAAACGGATCTTGTTCAGAGCTGGCCTAGCCCTGATCTCAGAGAGAATGAGAGTGCTCCGATTTGAACTAGGCAATTTAGACAAGACTGTCTTGCAATCACACTTAACATTGACAGAAGAAAATGTCTACATTTGATTGGGAGCATGTAGATAACATGACAGCCGCTTCAATGCCACCTGATGACGATTGCTTGTGTTGCGATCGAAACGTCGTGATATTTGTATTTTTTTTTTTTCTATCTACGTGGCTTTACCGAAAGACCCAAAGAATATGAATTCCTCCAGTCACGGAAGCTTTAAGTCAAGATATCTCCTTATCTTCTACATGCTGTGTATATGCGTATTTTGAACTTCT